AGATGATGGGCGGGAAACGGACTTACTTGTACAAACAGACAACGCCATTTAAGGCCCCTAACGAACCTAAGTACGACCTCGTCCTGGTCGGTGCTCTTCCTATAAACGATCTATCTTCTCCTTGGCTCAAATCTCTTCTCTCGTCTTTCTCCCGGACCTCTCCATCTCTCTCTCGTCTCTCTCTCCTCTCTCTCTCTCTCTCTCTGTCTCTCTCTTCTCGATCTCTCTCTCTCTCTCTTATATATATATATATATATATATATATATATATATATATATATGTCTCGTGCAATCCCCGGCGCCCCCCCTCTCTCCCTCTTCTCTCTACTCTCTCTCGTGCTCTCTCTCTCTCCTTCGTCTTTCTCTCTCTCTCGTCTCACTACGCTTATCTCCTGTCGATGTTTTTCAAACTTCTTGACTCTCTAGTCTTAAGTGACTTCTTGCAATGGACGTATTCGTCTTAAGTGCACAGTTTATACCGAATCGATCCAAATTTCATGATCGATGATCGGTTGCACTGATCCGAGGATTGATTTGACGATGTTCAATAAATCGTTAAATCAATTAAGACGAGGAATAATCGCCGTGAAAAACGTTGGCACGAATCTCTCAAGCTGGTTAAATTCCGATCTTTCCAACTCGATTACAAACTTTCCAACTCGATCGCATACTTTCCAACTCGATTACAAACTTTCCAACTCGAATTAATCACAACACGACTGTGTTTTCCTATCGTTTTTTTCCCCTCGCTCAGTCTCCGTTGCCTTGATTTCGTCCTTACGTCCTACATGCTTGCGATTCCTCACGTAGACTGGGTGTCGAGGTGTGAATGTGTTGCCGCAGCTGTTACCATGCTTACCTTGGTCGCTTCAGTCGGCTGGGTTGAGGAAATCTGTTGCCTAACGCAGGTGTGATGCACGCGCGTGTGCATCGTGACGTAAAACCACTGGCTGCAGGTTGCATCTAAGCAATTAGCATGCTGCTGCCCCCGTGGCGTGGCGAATCGACGTGTGAACGCGTGATGGTGAGTCACGTTGTCTTGTGCTTGCGTGCGTGCGTGCGTGCGTGCGTGCGTGCGTGCGTGCGTACGTACGTGCATGCGTGCTTGTGAGTGTGCGTGCGTGCTTGGGTGCTTGCTTGTGCGTGCGAGCGTACGTGCGATCGTGCTGCGGTGCGTGCGTGCGTGTCTGGTGCGTGCGTGCGTGCGTGCGTGCGTGTACTGGCGACTATTTGATCTGTGTCTAGATAATCACGAATCGAAGATACCTGTGAGTAAGATAGCCAAATGTCAACATGGGACGCTTCCACACCAGAGGTAGCCCCGGGGGATGGATGGGGCGGATGGGGTGGGAGGGGGGAGGCAAGGCAACAGGAGCACTAATACAATCTCCGTGTCCACTTCTGCGCTTCGCAAAGCCATCCCCCTCCCCTCTTGACGAGGAAAAGGCCTCCGTCGGTGACGGCGGCGCCCCCTGCGGGAGCAGAGTAACCGCTACCCCCCACCACCCCCCCCTGTCGGCCGGAAAATGAGCGGCGCCCTCTGCGGTGCAAAGTCTGCAAGAGCGTGGATACAGACCGAAGACGCGGCGCGGCAACGATTCATCATCGGCGGAGTCGGCGAGCGAGGAAGGACGAGCAAACAAGTGAACGAGCGAGAGCGACGGATCGAAAGGCTTAGCAGCGAACGACAGAGCGACGAAGCAGAATGGAAGCTGATGACGGCTGGACCAGGACGACCGACTTCCGGACGTACAACGCGTACGCGCGGCACGCAGCAGTAAGTCCCTCGGGCGCCCGTCTAGGGGGCGGCCGCGGCCTCGGGACGGCACTCGTCCGCGCTCGCGGGTTTTTTTTTGCGCACGGCGACGCGACGTGACGCGGCAGTTTGGGCTTCGACGGGGTTTCGAAACTCGGTAGAGATACATTTCAGCGGCGGATGTACGCGATTCACGTACGATGTATTCCTTCGTCTTTTCGCATTATTCAATATTATTCATTATTCATTATTCATTATTTCAAGCGATGTCTTTCGCACGCGCCTGTACGGGCCGCTCCGTAACTGCAATAACACGGTTGTCCCTTGTCCCTCGTAACAAGGGGCTGACACTGCATGGTGACACTGTGACAGTGTAAGACACCTGGTGTCAGCGTTGGGTTAACTCATCGGTGCAGGACATTGCGCTAACAGCATTAGCAACCTGACGTGTGATAAAACGCGTGAGTCAAACGCGTTATGATCCTGGTCAGAGGCGGATTCAGACCGTATTTGCCGTATTGCGAAATACGGTCTAGATTTCAAAGTGCCCTCCGAAATTTTGCGCTAAAAAAAAAACAGAAAACAATTTGATGGAATTTGGCTATATTCTTTATTTGTTTTCTTTTTCTTCTGATTCATTGACAAGACTTGAAGGAAATCAAAATTTTACATGGTAACAAAACTAGCTTTGATATCTGAAAAAGAAGGGAAGTGCTTGAATCGTTCTGCATTAATTGCTGGTATACAAAGCGCAGGCAAAATGAAGCAGAAATAAAATTCCATATGGTTCTTAGCTATTGCTGCTTGACTAAATGTGTGCTCAAATGGTGCTCATTTTTGTGCCCAGGGACTCTTGAAATTTTGAAATTTCCTCGGGGAAGCTCCCCAGCCCCCAGCCCCCCCGCCATGTCAGCCATCAACTGTGATCCATGATAGTCTGTGCAGTCACACAGAGCGAGACTATCTATAACTCTATTGACGAGGCTGCTAAGTAAAGCTATTGCTAGGTAAACGAGACGATATCCTCTGACACTGATCTCTCTACCACGGACTACCGTATGTATCAGGAGTAGATAATAGGGAACCTATTATCTACTCCTGGTATAATCAGGAGTGTATATACTCCTGGTATAATGTATGTAGATCAGTAGCAGCAGTCAAGATTGTCTCCACTGCTGCGTGTTTGTTTAAAACCCTATCTATGTGTACATTGGCTTTCTCCCGATTGAGGTCATCTGGAAGACACATACATAATGCGTTCGTCTGACATTCATACATTTTTTGTTTCTGGTTAAAGAACATATCAGAATTGATATCAGTAATCAAAATAATTTTTCCCCTGAAATGAACCTGGCATGTGAGAAAATTGCGTTGTCATTTTTGGTAGCTAATAATAGGATTTTGTTTCGAGAGAGAAAGACAAAGAGAGAAAGAGAAACTCTGTCTGTCTGTCTGTCTGTCTCTCTCTATCTCTCTCTCTCTGTCTCTGTCTCTCTCTCTCTCTCTCTGTCTCTCTCTCTCTGTCTCTGTCTCTCTCTCTCTCTCTCTCTCTCTCTGTCTCTCTCTCTCTCTGTCTCCCTCTCTCTCTCTCTCCCCACTCTCTCTCTCTCTCTCTCTCTCTCCCCACCCTCTCTCTCTCCCCCTCTCTCGCTCTTCCTCTCTCCCTCTCTCCTCTCTCTCTCTCTCTCACCCTCTCTCTCTCTCTCTCTCTCTCTCTGTCGTGAGTGCCAACGTAGCCGCGGTAACAGCCGGTTGCCTCTTGCCTCAGAAGCAGCAGTCAAGATTGTCTCCACTGCTGCATGTTTGTTTAAAACCCTATCTATGTGTACATTGACTTTCTCCCAA